CCTGCAACTTGAGTTACAGGTGGTTGGGAGCCACCTGATGCGGACTTAGGGAACAAACTCAGGTCCTCTGCATTAAAAGCAGTACGTGTTCTTAATCACTGCGGCACCTCTCCAGCCTGAGATGTGTGTTATCAATGAAGGTAGAAGAGATGAGGTTCAGAGCATGCGTGGAGGGGCAAGTTTTTAGTTGGGAGGGTGAGGCTGTCTAAACTGTTGGAATAGGGGCATAAAAGAGAAGGTGAGTGTCTGGGCCAGTCTTGGAAATTCAGTGGTGGAAAATCATTTCCATCTCTTGGAAAATTAGTGACCCTGTCACTGTCACCGTCATCAGGATGGAGAGTGTGGGCAATGGGAAGGGTGTGGGCGAATGAAGAAGGTTTCTAAATACTTGCTTTATAGTGTGAGAGAGCAGTTCCTACAGAAATGCAGCGGGGTTGCCAGACGGCATCCTGGGTGAGAATTATGCCTGTGTGTGGAGTAGAAAAACTGCCGGGCCTTTCATCTATCCGTGTTGCTTCCTTCCAGAAATCCGGGTAAAACTACTTCAGCGTAGACATGTTGGATTGAGCTAGGCTTAGTTTTTTTTCTAAGAGAAAAATCTAGAATATTTTCAAGGAGCGATTGTGATGAATCATGGAATCTCAGCTGGATAAGGAGGAAAACACAGTCTCAAAGGATAGTGGGATGAGAAGTTTGGAGTGGGAAGTGAGGCAATCCAAGAGGGTTGTGGTGGGGGTTGGGCAGGTCCACACTGGCTGTCGAGGTATCCCTCAGCATCTGACTGTATGGCTAGCAACAGCCTGTCTTCAGGTTGCCAAGGACATGCAAGTGCTCAAGGAAGACTCCAACTAAACACAACCAAGAAACACAACATTTCAAGAGTTTAGCTTGAAATTCCAAGGTGGGTCAGTCTGTGGTCAGGCATATCCTAGCTGGATGGTGGGCAGGGGGAGGGGCCGAGCCTCTTGGGAACTTCTTTCTTTTAAAGGAAAAACAGTCTGGAAGAAGGTGGCATAGCCCAATCAAGTGGGTGGGTTGGTGATGGAAGGATGTGCTCTGAATTTAGCTCCAGCCTCATGGCCCAGCTCCAAAACCTCCTCTTGGAGTTGTAGGCAGAGATTCTCAATTAAGAGTGAGTTGTAATGAAGAACACTACTTAAATGTGAAGCCACTGAGGATACAAGACAGGTAATGGTCTATGCCATGGAGTATAATACAGAGGGGCAAACTTAACCTTTCCTAGCAACCTGTCATTGTTATGCATTTTATGTGATATTTTTCTTGTGCAATAGCAAATGACGTTTGCCTGAGGATCAGAGTGTGTTAGCCATAGAGGCCAGGCAGTAGTGGCACACACCTTTAATCCCAGCCCTCAGGAGGCAGAGGTAGATGGGTCTCTATGAGTTCAAGGCCACCCTGGGCTTTGTGAGATTGAGCCAGTCTCAAAGAGAAACAGAACCAGGTCGTGGTGGTTCACACCATTAATCCCAGTACTTGGGAGTCACATGCCTTTAATTCTAACACTAGGGAGGTGGAGACAGGAAGGGTTATGGCTGGGCCGAGATAGGAAAATAAGGCAGGAGGAGTCAGGAGCTCAAGGCATTCAGTCTATGAGAACTTGTAGAGACAGGATACCCCATTCAGTCTGAGGATTTCCTAGAGATGAGAACTAGTGGCTGGCTGCTCCCCCTAATATCTGACTCTGGGTTTTTATTATGAAGACCAATTAGTATTCACGTAACATTTTTGAAATTGTAGGTGGGGATGCAGCTGGAGGAGTTTTATGAACCTCTTTTACACCATGGTTGATATGGGTCTGCTGTCCAAATATAGCGCAGTTTCCCATTATGCAGATTTTTAGAGATTATGATAGACAGCTTCGTAAGGAGATACACATTGCTGGCACAGGCTCGAGGTTCTCTTAAGAACCCCAGCTTCATAAGCATGCCTAGGCTTTTCAGAAGCAGCACTCCAGGGAGCTGCTCTGACCCCCGTTACTCTCTATTCCCTTCATCTGCTCAAGCTCCCCTTATTCTACAGATGATAGATGTGAGCCCTTGAAGAACTGAGCTGGCCGATTAGTATCAAATGGAGAACTCCAATCTCCCCACTCCCTCTTTAGGATTCCATATCAAAGACCAACATGAGCAGGCGCATTGTCAAAGTGCCCAAGAAGCCTTCTTGTGGCCAGAGATCTGAAAGAGGAGGAAGCCCATCCTTCTCTCTCTCTTTTTTTTTTTTTTTTTTTTTTTTAGATAAGACTGGTGACTCGGTTCAAATTTGAAGACACTTTCCTTAAGGGGTCTGAGCTCAAGCCTGGTCCCTCACCTGTAGTTGGGCGGTCGCAGCAAGCATCTTCTGCCGAGTTTGCAGCACTGTGGATGAGGACATGGAGATTGGCGCGCTTTGTCTTAGCCACCTTATGTCTTCCCACATACAAGACAGCTGCAAAAGAAGTCACAAGGTCCTATCATCATCCAAACCCCTGAATGATTTAGGTCGTGGCATCAAAGCAAGGCAAGAGAAGGAAACCTGACCCCCCTCCCCCGCCCCCCCGATATTTGTACTCCAGTCCATTTTCAGATACAGATGAAACCACTTTTTGATCTCTGTCCAATTGGAAAAAGATCTGAATGCTAATGAAACAGTCAGATCTACATTTTAGTCTCTGCCAAATGAACCCATAACTCTGAAGAGCAGAGACGCAATCTGACAGGATACACGCGTCTTTGCTTTGAAAGTGGAGTGGAAGACACTACTTCAGACTCAGGGGGAAAAAAATGACACAGGGCACGCTGGGGCCATAAAGGATCTTGAGATAATTTACTCCCACCCCAAAACTTTGATCGTGAGAGACCCCCTCAACTAAAGTTTCAGAGATTTATGTGCAGTAACCCTGGTGCGAAATAGGGGAAAAAAATGAAACAAGAACTCAGTGTACCTTCGTGAACCACAGAAAGTCTTGTGTAATAGAACTGGCGTGAGAGTCATCTATCTCAACAATTGGTATTTGATCTTCATTGGTGACTAACATATTGTCTTTATAATAAAATATAACGGCTATGTAGAGTCCTCTACAAAGAAAAAGAGAAAAAAAGCAAGTCTTCAACTATTTGCTTTACTGAAGAAGTCTCATGAGATTATACATAATTACATATACAATGTATGTACGATTAAATATGTGTATATAAAATTAGTTCATTTTAGACACGTTGCAAGCTGAATTGAAAATATACCTAAGAACATATTTTTGCTCTGTCTCATAAATTTACTGGCTAGAATTCGAGATTGGTATCTTGCCCAAATTCTCAGGAGAATTCATTCTTTTAATAAAAATACAGAATTTGTACTTGGTTCCCACTTAGAACCCATCTAGTTCATTGCTCAGATGCTAGAACTTCCTAGAAGAAGTGTTTAGGACCCACCGTTTCAAGGTCTTCACAAATTTGTTTGAGGAATGGAAGAGGTGCTTCAGGCTCCTCGACACCGACTGCTTGCGGCCCGTGGTTTGCAGTTTTGAACTTTCTGGAATGTAGAAGGGAGATGCAGTGCCAAGTCCATCTGACAGGTCAACATTTCTGCTTTGCCTTCCTCTCTACCTCCTGGCCTTCCCGTGTCCCTGTGTGTCACTTATCAATCTCCAGCTTGTTGTTTCTTCAAGAAACTTGTATTTATTGAGGTATCAGCTGCTATGGCCTGAAATGGAAGCACCCCTAATAGGCCCATGTTTTGAATGTTTGGTCTCCAGTTAGTGGAGCCTGTTTGCGGGGATTGGTGGTTTGGAGGCTTCGGGAGGTGAGGCCTGGCTGGTGGAGGCAGGTTACTGGGGCCAGGCCCTTGGGGGTGTGTTGTCTATTTTCTCTCTTACTTTTCCCCGCCCCAAAGAGTGACTGACAATTGCTGTTATGCATCCCCGCTTCCATGATGTATGAGCACCTTCGCCACCAACGGGCGAAGACAATGCCTTCCTCCTCTAAGTGGATTCTGCCTGGCCTTTTGTCAAAGCCGTCTAAGAGTAATTAATACCCTAGTAATTGACTCAGTTAATGGACAACTCTTCACAAATGTTGAGGTGAGCAGTATTGATATCCCAGGGAAACCACTTCAGGTCTTCAGTTTATACTATCAGGGTAAGCGCTTGCCTGTCACGTAAGATGAAAAGAAAGGCAACCAATTCCTTTTCCTCTTCCCCCTTTACCACCTGGCTTTTTAATCGACACCGTTTCTCACAGCTTTCAAAGTTCCCCTTGTTAGTTTATATATCCAATTAAATCTTTGCCTTTTAGGGCTATAATATGATCACATTACGGAAGATCTGGAGAGTATAAAAAAGAAAACAAAAGAAAAAAAAAAACCAAATTTACCCAACTCACCCCACCACTTCATATAACTAGAATTAGCATCCTAAGGCAGTCTTTTCTAGTATATGTGTGGACTTATGAAAGTATCTGGAGGTAGTAGAGAGGACAGCCTCAACAGATAAATCCACAACACAGTCTCTGCTTAGGGAACATCACAGAAGAGGAGACGGAGAAATTGTAAGAGCCACAATACCAGGAAGGCTATTTTAGAAATGACTGCATAAACAAAACAGGAACAACGACAAACATCGAAAAACATGTTAACATGGAAAGAGGAATATTTCTCTAGGCCCCACCCCTAGAGAAAGACCTATAGGAAACTAGTGAATGCTAGAAGTATAATTCGCCTCTCCTAGGGGGGAGACCCCTCATTGATAAGTCCAGTGCTGAGTGCTCAGCCTTAGAATTTTATACACATCAAAACAAAATGGATTTGGCAGGTTGTAGTCATATGTGCACATATATATGCATATATATATATGTACACATACATGTGTATATGTAACTAATTGAAGATGTTTTTAATTTGAGGAGGGGCATGGGAAGAATTCAAGGAAGGATAGCAGAGAGGAGCTAGAGGGAGTAAAGAGGGGGAGGAAAGTAATGTAAGTATTTCATTTAAAAAACAAGAAAAAAAAACAAAAATTAAAAAGTATGTATGTAGGGATAGGTCTCAGTATTACCTTTATTGCATAGATAATGGGATTGACTGGAACTGAGAAACAGAGGGATTGTCTAAAATAGCAAAGCCCGGTACCCAAAGAGACTAAATAAATCGTTTTTGGGAAAGTGGCTGTATGTGTCTTCTGTAGATGTGAGTGTGAGCATGTTGTTTACATTTTCTTGCCCATTTATAAGTTAGAGTTTTCCCTGATAGCTGTAGTAGAATCCCCAGATGTCTGCAAACAGTGTTTGCAAGCAATGCTCCATGAAGTTGGGCAAGATACTCACCACTGTCCCTTATTCTGTTGTATGTAGTGAAGGGGAGCTGAGGTTATTGGTGTCATTTCTGAGTTTTGGCGGGCTTGTTTCCAGGAAGGGAACAGAAGGCCCAGCACTGCTGTTAGACAGAGAAGCCTGGGGTGCAGTGGCATTTCATTTATATCTTAATAAGTAAGGCTTGCTTGAAGATCAGAAAAGTAAAACAACCACACCGGTCAGCTTTGCAGACCAGGCAACAATGACACACACCTTTAATCTCAGTAGCATGTCTAGCTTGCCATAGAAACTAGGTGGTAGTGGTACATGCCTTTAAACCCAGAACTAGTGAGGATTATAAGATAGGAGGAGACATCTCTCAGTCTCATTTTGAGATTCCTGGAGGCAGGATCACCATTTTTGGACTGAGGTCAAGGTAAGAGCCAGCCTGCTTTGCTTTTCTGATGATCTTTAGGCAAGCTTCATTTATTAAAATACAAATGAAATGCCACTACATTTTTCCTTTTTGTCTAAAATAAAAATATCTTAACTATAATTTTTGCTTGATAACTGTTTTGTATATGTAATTATATTAAGTTAAAGTTAAAACCTTTCTTTTTAATTAGA